TTTTGTCCACAAACCCCTAAACCCTTTTGTGCCCAGAAAACCCTAAAAACCCTGAGCTCAAAAGCTCGTAAATTGTTGGGTCCTCGGAGCCTTTTACGCGGTTTCGGGGTTTAGGGCTTCAGAATAGGGGGGAGCCAATCGGATCCCAAAACGGACCCCTAATTCCAAAACGCCCCCCGTGCAGCTTGCGAGCTATGACTTAAGGATGTCGAAACTGAGGCCCCGCTGCGGAGAACTCTGGCCCCACAACGAACTCGACATGCAAAGCTAACTGCTTGGATCGTGCGCTGGAGGGTGGCAGAGAATTACCCTATAAGCCCTAAACCCTCAACTCTGTCCTTGTGCGGAGGCCTCGACCAGGGGTGCAAGGCGTCGTCGTGTCTGTTCCGCCGGCTCCTCGGGGAGCGGGTTTGGGAAAAGACTGACCATAGAAAGCTGGAAGATTGAATACCGTGTGGGTGTGTTGGTAATGTTGCTTGCTTCTCTTTTGTCCATCTAAGAGGTTGCATTTACTTTTTATATCTTTGGTGTGTTTCCCTCCGGAGGCAGGATACCGCTTCGGGCTTCAAAAGCCGCAGTTGCAGCTAGTGAGGGCAATGTCGACACTGGTCGATTCTGAGGGCCTGACGATCCCTGCACTTACGCTGACACGGAAAGAGTCTGAAATGGATGATTGGGACATATTGGGACTCACGATACGACCAGGCAGAAATGTGGGGACACTGGCATGTAAGATTTGTTCTCGTGGAAGTGTGGTTGCCCTTGCCAAAGTGCACCAGCAGCACCACCAGTCTGAACAGCACATCATCTTCCTCAGCATCATCATGCCATGATTCTCGTGTTGTCATCACTATTGTCGTCATCAGCATCGTCACAATCACCAGCATCATTCGTCATCGGTATCCGCATCGTCGCCCTCAACATCATCAGCACCGTCATCAATATCACATTATCGAATTGATCAGGTGTGTCAAGAATGGGAGCGCCCTCCATAACGGCACTGTCGTACTGTTTTGATGCTGGTGCTGGTTTGGGCGGTGATGCAGAAAACATAAGAACAGAAGAATAGAAGCGGGAACAGCAGCAGCAGCAGCAGCAGAAATCACTGCAGGAGGAGAAGAAGCGGAAGTAGTCGTGGTGGTGGTGGTCAGTGCTAAAACGGCGGATAGTATCTTCTGGGCTGGATTTGCTACGACTTGTGTCATCCTTTGTGCTGCTTCTAAGTAGCATTTAAGTACAAACTTAGTACAAACCGTTTGGCAAGCTTGTGTGTCGCGATCGCGGAAACAGCCTGCTTCTCGCCCGAGCTTGTTTAGATCCGACTTTTTGGTCCATCGACGGTTCAGTGCTTCTGAAATACGTTTGCGCCGAAGAGCAGGCTTAAAATGGCTTAAAAACCCAACTCAATCATACTGCAATTCAACAATCGTTCAACAAACCTTAAACCCCACGGGAAAAAACGAGGGTTACAAGAACCCTTTGGTCCGAATTCCGACTGAAGGCCCCTGCGGGTTACCAAAGCCCGCCTAAAAGTTCAATCGCCTGGAGCAGGACCCAGAGCCCATCTTACACGCTTTGCAACCGTAATATAGGGGTCGTATTTAGAATAGGGCTTGGGGGTTTTAATGTATAGTATAGCTATACATAGTGACCCTCAGGGCATACTAAACCTCTCGTAGCCTCTACGAAGGCAGCGGTGATATCAGCCAGCTGGCCAAACCTTGCTCGCAAGCTTCAGGCTTCCACTGGAACATAAGTCCAAGGAGTAGTGACTAGCACATACTCCTACTGCTGCCTGCTGAACCTCCCTTCTGCAGTAATATCGGGGTCTTAATACTTCGAAGGAATCGGGTTTTGGAGTAAATCACTGCGACTATACTCAGTATATGGAATCCCGTGGAATAACGTGGGTAAAATTTCTATTCCGCCTTCCAAACTACACCACAGGCAGCTGGCTACGGCTAATAGGCAACCTTGTTCAACAGGCAAGACTACTAAACCCTAAAAACCGCAACCCTAAACCGGCGAGCTATACACCAGATGGTCATGCAGCACAAAGAATCTACAGAATCCTTTACGAAGGACCCTTAGAAGCCAAATAGAGCCTTACACGTCCCCGTATGAAAAACCCGTCTGGAAACCTAATAGAGTAGAACTTTTGAGAACCCGACCCCAAACGAGTTTTTGACATCTCAAACTCCCCAAGCGTCCCTAAACTCATCCCGTTTTGTGAACTCTCACGCTCGGACGGCACTCCCCTAAAGCCTCACAAACTCCTAAACTCCTTCACCCTAAACTCCTAAACACCTTAACCCTGAACCCTAAACTCCTAAACCCTAAACTCCTTAACTCGTCAACCCTAAACCCTAAGAAGGAACCCCCTGGTCTCCCAAATAAACCCTCAATCCCCGAAGCTCTCTGTGCCAAGGTATCGAGAGGCATCCGCCGTGGGGTCCGATGCCGCCGGCGATTCGACGCGGCCACAGCCGCCGTGAGTGGAAGGGATGCAGAGGCTGCCGGCCTCTCTAGGGTTTTAAGGTTCAGGGTCGTTTAGTTTTTAGGGTTTAAGGTTTATAAGGTTTCCTTTTAAGGCTCGGGGTTTGAGGTTTCGGGGCGTTATGAATGTTTTGCCCCTATGATTTATAAGTCCGGTTTAGGGCCGTTTAGTGTTTTGGGCTCAGCTTTGGGTTGGGGAGTTGAGGAATGTACCCTCGTGCTGTCAACATGTGGCGGGCGAGTTGTCCAGCCTGAGATTTCACATGATCACTGCAGGTCATCGCAGTCTGCCTTCAGGTCTGCGCTCGAGGGGCGCTGGTCAGAGATTGCTCGTAGAACATCACGGGATGGAGACCGCTGGATTGCCTGTTTCTTTGTGCAAGTCCACTGTCTCCTGCAGAAGAATTTCACCTTGTCCTCTAGTGTACTTGAACTTGGTTATGCTGAGCCCTAAAGCGAAGCAGCCTCCAGCCATTCTTCCTGAGCTCGGGGGAGCAACGCGCCGCCGATGGCGGGTGTAGGTGCGGCTGCGGGCTCCAGGGTGCGATGGCCGCCATTGCAAGAAGTTAGGGAGATTTGGGGTATAGGGCTTAGGGTTGAGAAGTTGCTGGGGATATACGCTCCCCGAGTTGAATTGTGTTAATGTCAAATTCTGTAAGTTCGGGGTGATGCCAGCTTGTCGATCTGGATGTGCAACACCGTAGGACACTTATATATGTGCTCTTGGTGGCCCCAAACTCCAAGAAGCCCAAAGTAGGTTTCTAGCAAGGCTTTGAAGCTTCCAATCCGGGTCGCCTGCCGTCGTCGGCAAAATTAACCGAGTTCTAGCCGGCACTCAGTAGTGAGCTGAAACAGCCTCGGCTGCGCAACAGGGCAGACATTTCATTTCTCTTGCAAGGAAAAGAACGATACTACCACGGGTGTGGGTTCTCGAGCTTATTGGGTTTAGGGAAACTGTAGGGTGTAGGATAAAGGGTTGAAATAAAACCAGGGCGCTACGTTTGAAAGACGGCCGGTTTGCCCGTCCAGTGCAGCTTGCCGCAGCATAAGGATTGACACTTACCAGCTATGCACCACCGGAGCGTAGCGGGACGTCAACTCGAATCTAATACCGAGGGACCCTCACGAACGTGGCTGGCAGCAGTTCCAGGCATCCGGTGCAAACGTGGCGACTGCTGCAGTGTGAAGAAGTACTGACTGAATGCACGCAAATACATACCAACGAGAAGCATTCACGTCACAAGCTCTGCAATTACTGCTGTTCTCCCGTGCTAATAGGATTCAAAAGCTCCTACGGAGCTCTGCCACTGCGTCGGCCATGGCCATGGATAACCAGACAGGATCAACCTTAACCTGAAGAACCGCAAGGCCAAGGCAGTGAGGGCTTCAAACGAAGTCTGCAGCAAGAGCGCCCTGAGACCCCATCCCCTATTTCCTCCCGTATGCGGCCCTTTGACCTTTCGGACCCCTAAAAAAAGCAGAACCCAGGGAGTCGTGCATGTCAAACGGGTGCCCCGCGCAAGCATCAGATCCTTTACGTCCAGAGAGAAGGCTTTGACCTCGTTCAAGGGGTCAGGGTTTGAGGTCTAATGGAGCAGGGTTGAAGCTCCAGGGTCAAGGGCATGAGAAAGTATTGCTCATTCACTGCGATTGACCGTTTCTCGGGCTATTGGGCAGCATGCTTAGCAATAGGAAGAAGAGCGAGAGCACTGCGTTGAATGATGCGCGCTCATCAATGAAGCAGGGCCTCCCTCGCTCTAAACAAATTCCTGAGCTTCAAGACTCTCAAACGCCAAATCCCAAGTCCTAGCAGTCAACTTGCAGAACTCTCTTTAGGATTAGGTTTTGGGGGCCATGTTGCATGGAGGGCTTGAGAAAGGGGCTGGTAGGCTTAGGGCTGTAGGGTTTATGGCTCGAGGACTTCAGGGCGTAGGATTTCAGGCTTTAGGGGTTTCGAGTCCCACACTCGGCTTTACGGCGACTTTCGTTGTGGTTTTCGGTTTTGGGTTTAGGCAAGTTGAAACCCAAGGCAGAACCAGCCGCCCCTGTCCGCTTATGAGCATGTATCAAGGATCTGCAACAGTGTGCTATAAAGGCCTTTTAGTCCTTTTACAAGTAGGATAAGGGTTTGGGGTATGTTAGTGCGGCTAGAATAAGGAAGCTCTAAAAACTCAGGCTTACTCCTGGACTTCCCACGCTACTGCATCACCGCACTTTTTGTCCCCGGGCACTTGACGCGAGACACTTGCACAGACCTGAAGTCGCATCGACTGTGGCTTCCCTGCACGGCAGGCTGTAGCTCGAAACCACAAGCCGCACACCTGCCGACATTTTATGTCGCATGGAACCGAAAAACCAGGCCCCTACTGACTTCTGACTACTGTTCCTTTTAGCAGAGTCTATGATCTCCACGTAAGCCCCAAATCCGAAACCCTATAAAACGCCTATAAACCCTAAACTAAACCCTAAACCCTAAGCCCCAAATCCTAAACCCCTAAACAGCCTCAAAGGTCAGTGTGCGTCCAGTCAGGTGGCGGCTTTATCCCCCGCTGCCTCAGGATCCTCGGGGTGTTAGTTCCAGTAGGTTTTTTCCCTCTCGCATGGCTAAGGATCTAATTTAGGGTTTAGGGCTTATGGCGTTTTCTTTCCCTCCTGCTTAGCAAGGATGAGCCCGCATTGCAGGTGTTAGGGTTTCGGGAAAAGGGTTAGTTGACGTTTTCTGACCTTTTGGGGCGAAACTACTATAATAGTACTATGCAGTGTGCGATGTCTGGATCAGGTATCAGGTCGTCGGTTACGTAGTGTGAGGCCTATTCCACAGTCACAAGAAGGTTCGTGCCAGCATAAGCTTGCTGTATGGGCACCTAGGGTGTGGGATTGTGGTAGGTTGGTTTGGGGGTTGATGGTTCGGCATTTGGGTCTATGGGATGCATGGTTTCTTCATTATAAGTCTCGGGCAGGCGATGCTTCATTGAGTCATTCTCAATCAGACGTAGCATGGCAAAGCTACTTTTCAGTGATTGCATCTCTGCTTGCAACCGTAAACGGTTCTAACTGTTCTAGCTACACTAGAAGGGTTCGTCTTGGGGTTCTATCCAGACCGTTAAATGGTTTGATCACTCTTCGAAGCAAAGGAAATCCTTACAATCTGTAGCAAATGCCTCATACAAACACTCGGGACACTAGTGACTTGTCATGATTTGTCAGGAGGGTATGGCCCCGACACCCTGCCCATCAACTGTCCGAGCACCCAACAAAAAAGATTAAACCGTATATGGAGCATGTTAGCTTTGGCCGTAAATGGGTTTGCTATTATGCAGCAACTTTAGGGCCCAGCGCATATGCTACATAGGTACACGGATCCTTTTGGGGTCGCAAGTTTGTGAGCAGTACTTGTGTTGCGCTGTGTGGAAACCCCAAGGTTAATGCCAGAGTTTCTGGTTCAGTTGAAGCTCTTTGTATCATATTGCCGGCACACCTCAGAAACTTTGACAAGTAAGAGCCGATGGTTGCCAAGGCTGAAGCTTGCGTTCACGCAGAGTTGGTGGTGTATTTTGTGGCCTGATGAGACTTTAATGATGAACCGGCCCGCTGTGCGGAAATGTCTTCTGGAATCTTTCCACAAGGTTTACAGCTTACAAGTTCCGCGTCTTTCCATCGCACCTCCTTTCCGTTACACCTGTTGATGCCAGCACGGAATCCTATATACCCTTACCCCAAGCGCCCATGTTGTCCCAAGTCCTCAAACTCGAAGGGCGTCCCTTTTCCGTCTCGCATGATCCGGGAAGCGGCCTTCCACTGGGCGTAGGGAGAAGCTGTTTCGCACCCCCAAAAAGGGCACATGCTGCATCCTTCCAGTCCTTCCATCATCCCAATGCGACCACATGGGCTTCACTCACTTCTGCGCATCACCTCCACCATTCTGCCCAGTCACACTGTCCAAGAGTCAGTCCATCACCCCTTTTGTTGGTTCCTCCAGCATACCCTGGTGTCGGCGGACCATGTCATTGACCAAGCTCTTGTCTCCCACGTCCAACAGCTGACGGCTCGTCACTCCACCCTGTCGCCACAACAAGAACATCTCGTCCAAGATAAGGCCTTCTCGAAGGGCTCGGACCAGCAGATGAGGCAGTTATATGCTTGGGCCCCGCGAGGACGCTTCCATAAGCCCATCGGTGTTCCCAATGCCACCAACAGCTGTCTCCTCCGGCAGGGTCTCCCGGTAGCGAGTCCGCCCAGGCGATGCGATGACTTCCCTTGCAGATACAACTGGTCTTGACTTGGAGGGAGGAGGGAAACAGTGCCGTCCACCACATTTCAACGTGCATGATGTCAGATGATGTCAGAGTTGTTGTTCTCGGTGACCGTGTCCTCGCGGGCATCCGCCACGGCGTGTGCCGCAAAGATGGCTTCTGCGCCTTCCAGAACCGACGGTAGCCCATAGCCCATATCTGCTCCCGTCGCAGGCGTAGTGCCGGCGCAGTAAGCGATGAAGCAGCGTATATGCACGACGAACACGTGCTTCCAAAGGCAGCTGCGTCAGGCGAAAGTCAATGCTCCGCACGACGGCTATAGGAGCCCCCCACGTGGTCCGGATTGTTCCATGAAGCCACAGTCTCATCTCTTTCGTCCGCAGGGTCAGGAGGTGAACCCACACAGACACAGGAAGCCGTAGTCGAGGAGGAGCTCGATGACGAGCAGGGCGCACGCCTCCGAGTTCTTCGCCTCCGGGGGGTCTTCACTGTCGTCCTAACCCGAGCCGGGAGGGTTCACCAGGTGAAGTGCCGACCGTCGTTCCGGGAAGAAGGCTCTAATGCACCACAGCCCCGCTCCGGCGACCGCTTTTTCCATTAGAACCAGATCCGAGCATTGAGGGGAGAATTGGAGCACATGAGCCGCTTCATGGACCAAAAGCAATCTCTGGCCCGTCCAAGCAAGCCAGCAAGGAGATCACAAGTGGTCGCCTGAACCCGCAATTGCATGCCCGTTACCGTCAGAGAGTCCTTGGAGTGCAAGGTTTGCCCGAGGATGACAAAAAACCTTTTGTCGACGTGAAAGGGACTCCCATACAGCTCGCACTGCCTGAGGTTGATCCTCAGCCCAGCCGACGCGAGGTGGGTCCTGTCCGTCTCCACTGATCGTCAACCCTGTGCCCGAGCATTCTCCATCTTCCAAGTGCCACTGTCTGCCACCCGGTCGGTTGATGAACGTGGAAGCTGCTGAAGCAGCACCAGGTCGTCGTGCAAAGGTCACGAAAGACAGCCTCTCCCCACGCTCCCACCAAGAACTGTCAGATCTTGCCTCGGAGGGCCATCAGTGGGTCAGAACCGCCCTCACCTGGTCCTCAACCGTCTGCCGAGAAACCTTGAGATGCTTAGCGATGTTGGCCTCGTCTAGCCAGGCAGGTCCAGCTCTTGAGGAGGTCACCGAATCCGAGGGAGGTGTTCCCATACCCGCATGTCGTTGTCAGCCAACCAAGCTGCACCCGCGTTGTACAGTAGTCGACATCGAGCTCCGGCATGAGGTTGGCCCGGTTCAATCTTCTTAACACAGCCTGCCACGCTGGCCTTCCCACGTTCCGCCGGGCTTCGAGACAACGAGCACCAGAGCGCCCGCCTTGGAGGGAGAGTCCCGCCCTGTTGATCTCCTGGACCACCTCCAGCATACGGCGTTTCAGGTAGGGGGTTGCGCCCCGCTGCGCCGGGAGAAATTGCACAGCGCCACCCATCGCCGTGGCTCTGTTGTGAACGGCTCGCTTTCAAAGAGGTGGCAGATGTTGAGGTGATTCAGCGACTCAGCCAGCTGGTGTAGGATAACAGTACGACGGGTGTTGTCACACCATCCACCAAAGACGAGACCGGTCCGACGGTGATCACTGGGCCCACCTCCTCCCGCTCTTCCAATACCTGGATGCGGGCAATGGCATTCTGCAGTTGGTCTTGCAAAGCCGCCGTCCTCCATGGTGCGCAAGCGCAGAATCGAGTAACCGGGCTCGGACACTGAGTACTGCACTGTTCAGGTCGAAGAGGCTGTAAAGCATGTAAACGACGTCGACGAAGCAACTGCGACTGTTCACTTCCGCTCCCGCCCCGCAGCAGCGCACAGGACGCCGAGCTACTTTCCGGGCCTTGAGCCAAGGACCTGAGATGTTTAGGGTTTAGGATGGTTTAGGTTTCATATATGCGATACCTGAACGAACCTGTAAGAAAGCCTTCTGGCAGCCTATAGCTACACTTCGTTTTCCAAATCTTGAAATTACCCCAAAACCCTAAGCCGATAATCCTTAACCACCCGAGCGTCGACAGCGTAACGGACTTGGAGAATTTCAGCTCCTCGGAAGGGCTGAACTAGTGCTAGACAAAGCTTGCCGTATATGACTCCGGTTGATAGGGCTGTCTAAACCAAGATTCGGGGTCATAAAGGTCTAGTAGTAAATAAGGATGTTGACGCTTGAATTCAACTTAGGCTTTTCGGGTTTGGGTGGAGTTTAGTAGGATTCTTGTTGAGTTTAAGGTTCAGGGTTCCGGGGTTTCGTTGAATTTGGGGTAGAGTTGGGTGTTTGGTTGAGTTTAGGGCCTAGGTGCATTTAGGGCCTCCAAAATTTTAGGGTCCCTTCGGTTGGGAACCCTGCATGGCTGGATTGGATCCTACTGTGTGAAGTCTACGTTAAGAGTCTCGGACATATTTTCGGAAAGTAGCGATGTGGGGCTTGATCTGATGAGCACGTTTTTAACAAGTCTGCAAACTCTACTGTAGTTGCCCAGGCCTCTGTGGAAAACGTGCTCGTCAGCTCTTTTGTAAAAAAAGCCAATACCCAGGAGCCTGAATCCCAAACCGCACGCGAGCTTCGCGTCACGGCCTTGCACCCGAATACACTGAGTGGTGGTTGGATGATATAATTTAAACCTCAACAGCTTGAACCCATGGAGTACTCGTGTCTAGACCATACACTTCAGCAGTGGGCTCCATACTGTACGTCTTTTCCTGTTCCTTTCGTACATCCCCGAAAACTCACCTCTTTCTGGATCCCTCCGACAGATCATTTTTGAATTCCCTGCACCCAAATGGAAACAAGGCATGCAGCTGACATCCGTTCCAGGCGTCCAGAGGAGACGGCCCTCCTTTGCCCCCTTTGGCGCGCTTGTAGGTGCATACCTTGCTCTGAAGTTTCTAGAATCTAGGGTTTAGGGTTTAGGGTAGAAATACTGAGGGAAGGCAGAGTGTTCATCTCGGACTCCTTTGTCTCTCCCGGACCTTTCAAACATGAAGCCTTTGCTGACGATGTACTGTAGGGGCATTAAAAATCAGAATAGGGTTTTGTTTTGGGGTAGATTGTACTATAACTATGATAAGGTCCCCGCCCCCTCCCCCCCCCCGGGCAAAAAAATAATTGTATAGGTAATTATTAGGGTCCCTATATGACTGCCTGCCCCTGGTCTCAACAGGTGTCCATTTTAGATGAAGGGTTTCGACTCTCACAACAGTGTTGTGAGAGGCACGCACAGACCCGATGCCTTTCCTTGCAGCTCTTTGCCTTTGCAGATGCCCACCCAATGTCTGAATATTCGACAACATGCCTGGCAAGGAGCATTTTCCGAGAGTTAAGCAATTCTATACAGTGCGAAGCAAGAGAGCACCACCTTTCGATAGCTCAGCTCTGCCACATTAACTTCACTACCTGCATGTTCTTCGCGATTGGAACCATCAGACACGCCCAAATGAAAACTGTAGTTCAGCACCACAGCCACCCAAACAACCACCCAAATCGTCCTCATCATTATTATTGTTATTGTAATTGTAGTATTATCCTAATGACTCAATGACAGGTCTGCAAAACGATTGCCTGGCCCTTGCTTTGTGGACCGGGCAACGTGGCGTCACATCTTATGACAGCCATGGGTATACCAAAGCCAGAAAGAGGTGAAACACAGCTCATATCATACAAATGTTGGACTCGACCGCCGTGCAAACAGAAATAATTTGCCGGCATGAACACTTCGAGTGGCCCGGCCCGAAATACAACCAGCGTTTGCATCCCTTGCAAGATCCATGGCTATGACGGCGAAAGTTCCTGACTCAGGAGCGTGGGCACCTTGGATTGCATGCTCAAAACAGCGAAGGGGAGCAGGGTGCAACGCCTTCGGCTTCATTAAGTGCTCTTTTGTGAAGTATGGCGAAGGCTGGGGGGAAAGTCCGAGGAAATGCGCTCATTCCTTGCGCTGAAGGGCAAGAGGCCCCCGAGCGATCTCGACTAATGTTGGAAAGGCCCGTGCCGCTCGTAGCTCGGGCTAACACTAGCTTGTAGTAGGGGGCTTCGAACCTCGCGAGAAAGCATGGATTTTTACAGTCTTATGTACAAGTGCAGCAAAAGCACTTGAGAGATCGATCTATGGGCAGGGAAGGGTGGGGAGGAAGGCGAGCAAACACCCTCAGCCCACAGCCATGCATGTTAGTCGTGGGCATGCGGGCACCCACACCTGCATGAACAGTTGGCGAAGGTGATGGCAAAAGTTGTCTTTGAATCCTAAGACATCGTCCGTAGTTCCACATTTTTGCTACTGGACTCAAGCTTAGCCAGACCACGACCTGAAATCTGCAACATAAACCCACTTTCGCATATCGGTTGGCCCGACTGCTAGCAGACTAGCGTACTGGCTGGGCCATAAGTATGATGCCCCTCTAATTCCCGAATTGCAACCGGAATCGGAATCGGTGCTGGTCATATTGAAAAAGTGGGTGATGTTATTTTGGCAGGCGTCTCATCTTGCAGCACGGCGAACCCTAAACCCCAACCCTGAACCTGAACTCTGAAGTCAGATGGACATCACACGCCCGGGCCGGGGACGCACGTGAGCTGAAGTCGACCGTCACAGTGCCTAGCAAGGTGACAGAAGGCCATAATGAGAATAAGAGGGTTTTTCGGGCATACTAGGTCTGTTATGGTATCAGTAGACCAAGTAAACCTGACCAAAGGAATCCCTAAACCCCTCAGTATCCTGTAAAGACTAAGGCCCCCAGGTTCGGGCGACTAGGAGTTGTGTTTGCTTGGACGACGCTCGGGGAGAGGTCTGCCAGGTCGGGCATGGCAATCAAGGACCCTAGACCCTAAACACCCAAACCCGAATCCCTCCGGAATTCCAGGCCCCGTTGAAGGTTTAGGGTTGTTTAGGGCGGCCAGAATGTGATTGGGATTTAAGGATTCTTTGGCTCCTGCATCTCAAGCCACAGCCTGGCTCTAAATTGAAGTCTCGAAAGGAGCAGTGCTATCGACACTGAAGCCGAGGATGTTTGGAAAACGGAGCCATGCGCGCCATGCATGTGCTGGAAGGAAGTTGTGGAATGAAGCAAGCGAGTGCACGACGAGGTCTACCATTATGTCTAAGAATCGAGAAAAGTAGCTCAAAGCAAGTCGAGAAGTTGTAGAAAAGACAACCAATGACAACCTTTTCCAATCGTTCCGTATCGTTGCTGCTACCCTGCTACTGCCGACGTGTTGCTACGGCCACTGCCTCAGCAAACGTTGGAGTTTTTATGCAGGGTCGCAGATGATGTGTAGAGCTAAGCTAACTCTTCATTTGGACCATGGGTTCGTTCATCAGGGGGTCTACACTACAGATTATCTTAAGAGATCGTTACTGTAGCTGGCGCTAGTCATTTGTGTGCACTGTTGACTGTTGTCGTCAGTTGTGATTCTTGTTGTTATTGCTGTTGAGGTCAATGGCAATGACAAAAATGGGCATGATAGAGTCATGGTAGCCCCAACTCCAAAGATCTGATGGGACCCTCTCTCTCTCTCCCTCTCTCTGCAAGACTGAAGTAAAGTCTCTATGTGCAGGCTTGGCAGGCCGATTACAGCTGGCTCCCGATAGCATGGCCAGTCACCACGACTCAATCACACACACACACACACACCGAGCCAGCCCTTGATCGAGGTACTTTGGTGAATGAACCTTGGTCCGAGAAACCTTACTTACTGACATATCCTGAGCCCTTTAAGTGGGGTAGAGACCAGGCCTCGGGTCGGTGAGGTGGGGCTCCCGCATGCCATTCTCGGATCCACGTCGTAGTGAAGATCGAAGTCCCACTTCATTATCCGCTCCTTTCGGGCTTTTTTTAAATGAGGGTTTAGGGTTCACCTGGCTAGGACGCGCAACCATTTAGGGTTCAGGGTGTGGGGTTTTAGGCTTCCAAATTCATATCTGCGCCTTTGAGGTACAAGGGTGACTCTACATGAGGGCTTTCCGTGGCTTTCCTTGACCTTGGGCTGAGGGGTCTACCGGACATGCCAGGCGAGGAGGGTTTAAGGGTTTGGGGGTTGAGAGGTTTAGGCGCTTTCTAGGATTATAATATGGGTTCCGGGAGGAGGGCAAGGAACGTGGCTGAGTTGGCCGGGAAACCTTGCGATCTCGTAGATATGGCGGAATTCAAGCCAAACAGCTCCAGGTCTTGAAAGCCATACCCTTTTATTTGTCTCTGCACAGATTCTTACTTATGCCGTGGGGCCTTTTCAATCTGCTGCTGCACCCGGTTCGATGCAGCCTGCTTCGTGACGCATCGGGTGTCTGGCGAATGATTCGACTATCCTATATGTTTGTCTGGGATTGTTGGTAGGGTTGGCTAGCTGGCTAGCTCGGACACCATGCACGTTGAAATCCAGCCTGACGATGGTTGGTCCTGATTTGACTAACAATCTTTTCAGACTGCGGTTGAGGTTAGAGCGAGAGCAGCGGCTGGCTGAGCTGGAACGAGGTCTTCCCGTATGGACACACTGTAGTATACCTTAACAGCCTTAACATCTATATTATATATATATAACCTAAAATAAATCACCTTAGATGAGTGCATACCGTTGTTCATACATGTATATAGCATATGTATAGTGCATGTATGTATGTATGCATGTATGTATGTATGTATGTATGTCTGTCTGTATGTATGTAGGCACACATGCATACACCTGCGTGTTTTATGCGCACTGCACCCAAATATGGATAGACAGATGGATCAATCCTTCGGTGGACAAGACAGCCAGCCACAGGTACGTACGTAGGTAGAAAGGTACAGTGGTACGTAAGTAGACAGGGAGATGGCCAGATGCATCGATACACAGGTTGTGGGTAGATAGATAGATATCGAGACCGATAGATAGGTGTCGTACGGCTTGCAGCTACGAGACAAGACCAAACCAAGCTGTTTACAATGATAAGCCTAAAAACAACATAAAACAACCCTGTCTAAAAATGGTGTGTGTCGCAGAATGCCCATTTTACACTAAATCATGTCTAACAAACACGAGTGGACAGATTCATTATTCAAGCATTGGCTGCTCTTTTGGAAATCTACATGGGTTCGTGTTTGTGTACAGATGAATGTGGACATCACGGGCTCTAAGCGTCGTAGGACCGAACGCACGAATATCAGATGGATTAAGAGTAAAGCCACAATATTCGAGAACGAATAGATGTCATGTCAGTGGACCCTCAACTTGCTCAATTGATGCTTCAAAGGGGCCAAGCCTGCAAAACAACGGCAGCCCCTGATGATCTGAGGGCCCTACAACTGTGGGTCTGCGGCGATTTATGTTCAGGTTTACGGACTTGGGCTTTGTAGCGCTTGCGTTGTACATGGGGTCTACAGTCCAAGGCTAAGGCAAGGGTTTGCATGAAACTAGTCGGGACTGAAACAAAACTGAAACAAAGTAGTTCCAGGGTTTAGGGTTTCGACTCACTCTCTCTCTCTCTCTCTCTCTCTCTCTCTGTCTCGCGCAAGACGGGTTTAGGGTTTTAGGGTTTAGGGTCTTGCGCTTTAGTAATCAGCCTGGAGAGTGTCAGCGGTGGAGTCCAGCAGGAACACAGGAGCGCCAATGGGCGATGCCGGTGAGGCCAGCCTCAAACGAGTCGGTGCTTCTTTCGGTTCAGTTCCGGGGATTGTATGGTTATTTCACAGTTTATTGACATTCGCGAAGTAAGGAGTGTGGTGCGATGAAACACGGCGTGACGGCATGTGTCGCTCGGCTTCTGGGGACCTGCTTCGATGCTTATTTGTGGCTTGGAGCGTTCTGATTCTAAGCTTGTACTTACATGGTTTATCTGCTGATCCAACATGAATGCCCGTACACTTGAGTCTTAGGTGTAGGCGAGCAAACATGCGCACGC